TTTTTTGCATTATATATTGATCATGTTTAATCATGTTTTGGCAGTTCTTCCTTTTGAATAACATTTCTTTATTTTTTATATATGTAATTTTTGTTTTTTAATTCTACACCAATTATGAGATTTATTGAGTTGAAAATATCTTTGTTTTTTAATTCTACACCAATGAAATATGCTCACCCCAAAGCTCTTTGGGGACCGAAAATTCTATATCATACTTCTTGCATCCAAAAGTAATCACCACTTTACGGATAATGAGGGTTCACTTATTTAATTTTCAATCAAATTTATTTAAATAATGATACGGAGTACATAGTTTTATACAAAAGTTCATCAAAATAAGTAAAAATAACAAAAAATTATATTATTTTAATTAATGATTAAATAAAATAAGTAAAGAGAACAAAAATTTAAATAAATATACTTTGATTATTAATATATATATATAATTTCAAATAAATAAATATTACAAAAAATTTGATTTATCAAAACTATATATTGAAATAAATCTAAATTTTCTTAAATGTCAGAATTTGTAAAATTCGTTCACAAACATAAAATTGCAAAGAATTTTTATAAGGAGGGAGGAGTAAATAAATTTGTAAGTGCATAAATGAAATTATGTATGCAATTGAGTGTACTTTCTGTTTTTTTTTGAAACCTCACAGGCGAGGGGACTGCCACCATTCTCACGCTTTGAGTTATTGCAAGCGGCTAACCATTTCGGTGCTTTATCACCCACAGATCGCGAAAGGAGGCGTTTCACTTTTCAGAATTATCTTTTGAAAGTGCAATGTGCCAAAGGACTTCACAGGTTTAAATTTGTAAATTTGATGAATTGAATACTTTGTTTAAGAATTTTGAGCTTGCATTATTTATAAACTATGTTCTGTGAATTTGAAACACTAGATTATGAAATGTTCAGTTAGTGACTCTCAAGTATTGATGAGATTTCCAATAAAAAAATTTCCAACACAGGCAAACTAATTCTTCTTTCTTTACCTGATTGCATTTTAAATGATTAAGTCATGTCCCCTTTTGTGTTATAGAGTTTTTGAAGTAGTTTATAAACATGTAAATCTATTTTTAGCATAACTTCAGCCAGGTTTCTTTATCCACAATGGGACAATGTTTATGGGACGACGGGAGTAGTACACATTATTTTAGGAATAAAAACATGGTGGCAATACTTTAAAGAATTTTGAGTGTTCGTGATTTGTTTCTGAANTGATATCCAGCTAGGACAAAACTGAGGGTTGGTCTGTACTTAACCGTAACCCCATTCTTCATGCATTTGTAATCTTAGGTAAATTGATTAACCATGTTTACATTGCAAGGTTGCAACTCAAAACTTTTGATTATTTATTTATGCATATTAGTTTATACTTATTTTGAAAAAGGAATGGAGGTGGCTTTGGGTGCGCAAGATGCAATGGAATGGTCTTACAGGGGAGAAGGAGCAGCCAATTTAGTTCTTTTCTATTGCGGAAGATCTCCTCAATTTGTACGTTTCGTAATGGTTTACTGATAGAAAAGGAGTACTCTCCCATCCCGTTATGTTCATCCACTTGCTTTTGCACATGAACCAAATGGACAAACACACCGTGACAGTGGAAGTTTCTGACTTAAAATAGGACTTTGATATATTCATAGAGATATAGATTGAGTTAGTGCTTATGTGAAAAACTGAAAATTAAAGAGTTCATTTAATCTCTCCAGAAATTCTATTATTGTTGTTGTTGTTGTTGTTGTTGTTATTATTGTTATTATTATTATTATTATTATTATTATTATTATTATTATTATTATTATTGCACGTAGATTGTATAGATTTTATAGTCTATCTTTTTTTTGAATTATTCGTTCATTTGAAAGTGTTGATATTATGATCCTTCTCTATTCTGCACACAAGACTATCTAACATATATATGCCGCAACTTTTCCCTTTCTTTAGGTTGGCAAAGTTTTGAGGATTCAAAAGGATCGAGCAAATGGGTCTGAAAATAGAACCGGTCATTCGAGCTTAACCATTCCTGAAAGACATCTTTGGAAAGATGTCAAAGAGCTTGTATCTGCCCCCACTAGGGAAATTGCAGGGCACTTTTTTGCCCAGCATGTAATGGCTCCATTATTGGGTCCTAAACATGTTGATGCTGGGGTATGCAAGTGCCAACATTTATGACTCTTGTTATGATTTTTAACATTATTTGGTTTGAACAACACTATAACATCCATTGCAATCCATCTTTGCGAATACCGTTCCCTATTCTGAATTGCTAGTAAAAGGTTATAATGTTCTTTATACGTATTCATTGCACAACCCATGGCATTTTCTATGTGTATGTAAACTACCTATAATTATGATGGTTTTAGAAATTTATCTCATTATTCCTTTGTATGAAGATTGAGACATGACAGGCATCCAACGTAAAACATTTTTGTTATACTTGGTTTCATGATTTTAAAGTGTCAACAAATATAAAACAATTAATTAGCTCTTTAGGTTTAATGCCACCAACCCCAACTAGTTGGAATTAATTTGTTGAAGTTGATGCCGTATTGGGTTTGCAGTGTTCAATAGCATGATTAAATGTGTATGCTTTGCTGTTCTATGGATTGTCAGGTTTGCATCCTTGTATCCAAAGAATTTTTGGAGGCAGTTGAAAAGAATGCTCTTCAGGTACGCCCCCCTTGGCGGGTAGATGCTGCTAAAGTTAATCTCCTGAGTGATTCTGCTATACTTATGTCTGATCATTCAACATTCCCCCATGGTAATAGTACCTTTTTGTTGTCCTTTTGTGATCATGATGTGGTATTGAACTAATGCTACTTATTAACAAGCCCTTGGAGTTATGCTAAAAATTGCGTAGTACTAGAATAATAACTACCAAAATTAATCTTCAAAGATGAAGTGCAGAAACAATGCGAAGTTTAAATTTGCATTGGTCATACATTGTATAATATTGTTATACAATTGTACCTATATTTGACTTCACAAATCTAAGCAATATGCATCTGGGGAATAAAATGGCTCAGTTTATGCTCTTGTAATATAAAGATTGCATTTGGACTGTCATTGTAAGTTAGTATCAAAATGATGGAATATCTTTGTTTATTATATATGCCTCGATCTGTGTCCGATCCTAAGAATAACACACATTTATCTTCCTTTCAGTTACACCTGAAGAGGAACTGTGCATATGTGTTGAAATAAAGGTGCGTTATTTTTTTGTTCACCTTTGTAAACCTTATTATGAGTATAGTTTTTGTTTTCTTCATTCCTTTACTAGGGTATAATTACCTTGCATTTTTTCGATTTCCCTGGACGCAGCCGAAATGTGGATTCCTTCCACAGTCAGAATTTATTAAAGAAAGTAATGTTGTTAAAAGGAGAATTAGTCGTTTCA